GGAGGAAGAGGAAGCAGTGGGCTGGAAGACTCCACCTGTTTACCTGGTCTGAATCCCAGGATGGCAGCCCCTGTAGGGCCATTCCTGCGCCCTGCCCACCTACCCTGGGAGCTGGGCCAGGCGAGGCTCAGGGGCACTGCTTCCTTTGTGTCTGTTTCCGCCTGCCTTTGGGGCCAGCACCCTGCTGCAGCACTCAGCTGTGGAGTAGCATTTGGCCTGGCTACATGTGCGCTAATTTTAGCTTACATTAGTTACATGGTGGGGAAGGTCTCATTGTTATACTTACACTCCTGCTTGTGATGTATTCTAATCAATGCCTTCCCCTCTGTCGTTCCAACCCCTCCCCCCCTCCCCTTTCCCCTTCCCAGTTTCAACAGGTTTTTCATTGCTCAGCTTCCTCCATGTCCTTTCTCACTGCACCCACCCCCGACAGGCTGTCTCTCTTTCCATGTTCCCTGTCTCCTGTTGATCAACAGGGGTTCTTTATGCTGTTTTCATAGGCATTATGAAATTATTCACCCTCTATCTTTATTTTTCCTTTCTCCCTCCTTCTAAGTAGTCCTTCAGTTTGATTTATGTTATAATTATGTGTAGGATATAGATATAGATATATTTGATTTCCATATATGACCAAAAACATACAATATTTGACTTGGAGCTTGAGCTTGGCATGTGTCACTTAGTATAATGGCTTCAAATTGCATTCATTTTTTGGCAGATGTCATGATTTTATTTTTCTTTTACGTATCATATTCATATATACATAATGGGATGTGTGTGTACATGTACCATAGTTTTTTTTTTGGGGGGGGTCCAGTCGTGGGGCCTCAACTCTGGGCCTGGGCGCCGTCCCTCAGCTCTTCAGCTCAAGGCTAGCACTCTACCACTTGAGCCACAGCGCCACTTCCGGCTTTTTTCTTTTTGCTTATGTGGTGCTGAGGAATCGAACCCAGGGCCTCATGCATGCAAGGCATGCACTTTACCACTGAGCCACCTTCCCAGCCCCCTGTACCATAGCTTTTTATCCATTCATCTGTTGTGGGGCACCTTGCCTGATTCCAATCTGGCACTTATGAATAGTGCTTTAATAAACTTAGCTATGCAGTGTCTTTCTGGTATAGTGACTTACTCTTCCATGGTTATCTATGCCCAGTGGTAGTTGGGGGAGGGGGGCAGTTATAGCCTTTTGAGGAATCTCCATGCTGATTTCCACAGTGGCTGCATTAGTTTACATGCCCATCAGCAGTGAACAAAGTTCCTTAAGAGATTTTTTTTGTTGTCATTGTTGGTTTTGGAGCTTGAACTCTGGGCTTGGGCACTGTCCCTGATCTCTTCAGCTCAAGGCAAGCACTCTACCACTTGAGCCACAGCACTTCCGGTTTTCTGGTTGTTAATTGGAAATAAGAGTCTCCCAGATTTTCCTTGCCGGAGCTGGCTTTGAACCGTGATCCTCAGATCTCAGTCTCCTGAGTAGCTAGGATTACAGGCGTGAGCCACTCATGCCCAGCAGAGGAATTTTTTTTTTTTTTTTTGTCGGTCGTGGGGCTTGAACTCTGGGCCTGGGCGCTGTCCCTCAGCTCTTCAGCTCAAGGCGAGTGCTCTACCAATTGAGCTACAGTGCCACTTCCGGTTTTCTGGTGGTTTATTGGAGATAGGAGTCTCATGGTCTTTCCTGCCCGGGCTGGCTTTGAACCGCGATCCTCAGATCTTAGCCTCCTGCGTAACTAGGATAACAGGCATGAGCCACCAGTGCCCGGCTGGAAATTTTTTTTTTTTTTTTTAAGCACTAAGCTGCTGGAAATTAGATGGGGAGCTTTTTAAAAATTATAGATACCTATTTTTTCTGTGGAAGAAGAAAGTGTTTTGTGTTTTCAGTTTCAGCTAAATCTTGAGTATTTTCTGTATACTTCTGCTAAAAGAAGCAGTGTTTTTTCTAGAGTGTGTTTCCGTTGATTGGTTTGAAAGAATAGTTACTGAATCAGGTGCTGGTGGCTCACTCCTGTAATCCTAGCTACTCAGGAGGCTGAGATCTGAGGATCATGGTTCAAAGCCAGCCTCGGCAGGAAAGTCGGTGAGACTCTTCAATAAATTAGAAAAAAACAGAAATGGTACTGTAGCTCAAGTGGTAGAACTCTCACCTTGAGCTGAAGAGCTGAGGAACAGCGCCCAGGCCAGAGTTCAAGCCCCACTACCAACAACAACAAAAGAAAGCATATTTACTGACCCTCTTCTGTGATCCAGACACTGTGTTAGCTCAGGATACACAGACATGGACAGCGAGGGGGAAACAGGCATGGACAATGAGGGAGTGGACATAGACAACGGAGGGGAAGCAGGCCTGGACAGCAAGGTGCAAGTGGACATGGACAGCACAAGGCAGGCAGGCCTGGACACAGAGGAAGCAGGTGTGCACAGCGCGGGGCTGTGTCCTGGGGAGCTCACTTTCTTGAGAGGCAGAGACACATGATTAGTCAGTTAATGAGACCGTTTTAGACAGGGCGCAGTGTGTGGTAAGTGGTGATGAGGAAGGCTGTCCGGTGAGTTTTAGGTGGCTTCAGGAGCATTGCTGAGATGCAGTTCCCACAGCTTAGAGTGCACTCGCTTATCAGTATGCACCAAGTGTTCTTTCAGGAACTCACTGGTTTGTGCAGCTATCATCAGATTCAATCTTAAGCTTCTTTTGTTCCTAACCAGAAGACCCTGCTGCTCATTAGCAGTCCCTTTCTGACCGCTCTCCCTTCCCGGTTGTTTATGGCAGGGGCTGACTACTACACTTAGACTCTCCTGCCCGAGCGTGTCAGATCAGTGGAATGTGCCACGTGCGGTCTTCTGTGACTGGTTGCCATGCCGTAGTCATTCTTTTACATTGCCAAATAATGCTCCGTTGTGAGGAAATACCACATTTTACTTACTGGTCATGGACATTTGAGTTGTCCCTACCTTCTGGTTTTTATGAATAGTGCTGTTGTGAATTGTCCTGTGGCATCATGGGGTCAGACTGTGACCAGCATACATGACCCGGAGCAGTGTGTGAGGCCGCTGGCCTCTCCAGTCCTCAGCAGCGCCCCTGAGAAGCAGTGCCTCCGTGTGCTTCTGATTTATATTTCCCTAAGCATTACTGGCCTTCCACCTATTGCTGATTTGGGGAAATGTCTATTTAAATTGTGCTCTTTGTCTATCATTTAGTTTTATGTAAGCTGTTTGTTGAGTTGGCAGTCCTAGGGTTTAAACTCAGGGCCTCACACTTGCTAGCCAGGTGATTTTTAACGTTTGCCTCCCAGCGGAATCAACTTCTTGCCCAGGGCTAGCCTTGGAATGTGAGCCTCCTACATACATCTACATCCCAGACTTTTTTTAAAAATTAAGATCAGGGGCTGGGAAGGTGGCTCAGTGGTAGAGCACTTGCCTTGCATGCTCGAGGCCCTGGGTTCGATTCCTCAGCACCACATAAGAAAAAAGCCGGAAGTGGCGCTGTGGCTCAAGTGGTAGAGTGCTAGCCTTGAGCTGAAGAGCTGAGGGACAGCGCCCAGGCCCAGAGTTCAGGCCCCATGACCGGACCCAAAAAAAAAAAGAAAAAAAAAAAAAAAATTAAGATGAAGTTTTCCTAACTTTTTCCCCCAATTGGCCTCAAACTGAAATCCTCCCAATCTCCACCTTCCTAGTTTCTGGCCTTACAGGGATAAGCCACCATACCCAGCTTTTTAAATTTTTTTTTTCACTGTGGTTCGGGGTACCAAATGGGCTTTGTGCGTGTTGGTCAATCACATTATCACAGAGGTATACCCTCAATGAATCCTTTTTTTTTTCTGCATGTAAGTCTTTTGCCAGGTGCATCATTTTCTTTTCTTTTTTTTTTTCATTTTACTCTCCTTACTTCCTTCCTAGGATGGTACTCTGCCACTTGAGCCATACCTCCAGCCCAGCTTTTTGTTGGTTATTTTGGAGATGGAGTCTCACAGACTTTTCTGTCTAGGCTCTATTTGAACTATGATCCTCCAGGATCTATATAGCTAGGATTACAGGAATGAGACACTGGCAACCAGCTCAAATGCTTTCTGACATCCTACACATTCTTTCCACATTCTCAGCTGTGTCGTTTGCCACACAGGAGTCGTTAATATTGATGGCATTCAACTTTAGTCTTGCAGCTTAGCATTTGTATCTAAAATTTATTCTTCCCTGGACACCCTGTAAGAACCCCACTGCAATATCAAATCAGACTTTTTACCTGGTCCTCACTCTAGGGAAGTCACTGCCTTTGCCTTGACCTGGAGTGCTTTTTGAACACCCTGCAGTGGTTCTGGCTCTGCTGCTGGCTTTGGGGCCAGGCCTGTGACACTTGTTGTAGGTTCTTTTTTTGTTTGTTTGTTTGTTTGTTTTTGGTCGATCGTGGGACCTGAATTCAAGGCTAGCACTCTACCACTTGAGCCACAGCACCACTTCAGGCTTTTTCTGCTTATGTGGTACTGAATTGATCCCAGGGCCTCATGCATGCAAGGCAAACACTCTACCACTGAGCCACCTTCCCAGCCCCTTGTTGTAGGTTCTTATACCTAAGAGTGAGAAAGCTGATTCAAAGGGGCTTCACTTCTCACATCCCACGCCTCTGCAATTCTGCTTGAATTTCTTTCTTAGAAAGTCTTCCTCTCGTTTCCCTCTCTTCCCTTCCCCTCCTATCTCCTCCCCTCCTTTTTCCTTCCCTTCCTTTCCCTTCTGATTGCATCAACATAGAAATTCTAAAAAGGATACTTGGGCATTATTTTTAGATCCTTTTCCATATCCATTTTGACTTTTGTTAATGTCCATGGTTCTAAACCACCTAACCCTTATGGAGCAGCAGTGGGCAGGGATGTTCAGTGTCCGTATTGCCTTCCCTTTGACTCCCTGAACAAGCAGAGAATGGAGGTCAGCTAGAGGACTCGGCTCAGGTCCACCACAGAAGCCACAGAAGCCATGGCTCTTCCCGTCCTCCTCTAACCATCAGCACTCTGTGTTTTCAGACTCGCAGCGTTCACACCTCTCCTCCTTCACCATGAAGCTGATGGACAAATTCCACTCTCCCAAAATCAAGAGAACGCCGTCCAAGAAGGGAAAGCCCACTGAGGGGTCGGTGAAGATTCCAGAGAAACCTGGGAACAAAGTAAGCTGCCCTTCTAGGTGTCCTTCTGGCCCCAGCCTGTGTCCAGCAGGGCACGTGGCACTGGCTCTGTGTCAGGGCACTCCCCGGGCCGTCGGTGGCCCTGTAGAATGGGAAGTGTCTGTCCTGCCAGTGGCTGAGACAGTTTTCCTTTTCTGGCTATGGCAGCCTCTGGGCACTGTGCTCCCACCCAGGGTGCAGCGTGCCACCCCAGAAGGCCCCATGCTGTCCTGGGACACACACACACACACACAGATGCCGCAGACAGCCTGAGCACCAAGCCCTGTGCTTCAGGACTCGTGCTCTGAAATGCAAGCCCCTGGAGGCCCAGCCAAAGATATGTGAGCCCTAGTAATCTCAGCAGGGCCAGCTGAGCCAGATGTTCTGAAACAGCTGTTGATTTTCATCAACCCCTACCTTCCACCTACACCGGTCATTTCAAGCTCTGTAGGAATCCAGGTTTCCTCTCTTCCAGGAGGCAAGAGACAGATTTCTACCAGAGGGCTACCCTGTCCCCTTGGATCTGGAGCAGCAGACAGTAGAATTTATGTCCACCAGTGCTGTGGCTTCCAGGTCTCAGAGGCAGAAGGTCAGTGTGACATTAAGAATGATGGGGTTTGCCTTGCCTTCCCCTGCAGGACCCTGGCCCGTGGTTTGGGGTGGAAAACACCTCCTGCCCTCCACTGCGTCCTCACTGGGTGGCACTGGGGCCCGGGCTGCTCAGCAGAGCCCTCATCTGCAGAGGGAGCTCAGTAGACACGGCAGCAGCTCGGGGCTTCTTTCTGGGGTGGGTCTGGTATGCTGTTTGGGTCCAGCGGGTACTGGGGTGGGTGAGTCTCACCCTGGCAGAAGCTGATCTTTCCTGGCGTTTAGAAGGGAAGGTTACCTTCTAAGCTACCCGTGCTCTTTTAGCCATCTGCAAACCTTGGGGAATGCAGAGGCCAGGAGCCACCGATGGGGCCTTTTCTGGTTTCGTGCTGAGTGCTTCTCATGTCCTCTTCCTTGGTAATCATTGCAGCCCTGACAAGTGAAAACCTGTCCTGCTGAAAAGGAAACCAAGCTGTAGAGACACCCATCACACACAAAAGGAGTGAAGGCAAGATTCGAATACAGGCTATCCAATGTCATAATAGTGAATTCCTTTTTTTGGCAGTGCTAGGGATCAAAACTAGCACCTTGTGCGTAACTAGCAAGTGCTCTACCACGAGTGACATTCTCAACCATGTGTTTTTTAGGCAGGTCTCAGTGGATAGCCCAGGCTAGTTTGAACTTTCAGTCTTCCTGCCTCTGCCTCCTGACTGCTGGGATTACACACATGCATCACCACTCTCAGCTGCTACATTTCTACTTCAAGAAATAAAGCCAAGGGCTGGGAAGGTGGCTCAGTGGTAGAGCACTTGCCTTGCATGCCTGAGGCCCTGGGTTCGATTCCTCAGCACCACATAAGCAAAAAGAAAAAAGCTGGAAATGGCGCCGTGGCTCAAAGTGGTAGAGCGCTAGCCTTGAGCTGAAGAGCTGAGGGACAGACAGCGCTGTCCCAGAGTTCAGGCCCCACAACTGGACCCCCCCCCCCAAAAAAAAAAAGAAAGCCAAGCTGGCACTGGTGGTTCATACCTGTAATCCTAGCTACTCAAGAAGCTGAGATCTAAGAATCATTAAGATCATGATTCAAAGTCAGCCCAGGCAGAAAAGTCCATGAGACTTTTATCTCTAGTTAACTACCAAAAAGCCAGAAGTAGAGCTGTGGCTCAAGTGATAGAGCACAAAAGCTAAGGTGGCTCACAGCTATAACTCTAGCTACTCAGGAGGCTGGGATCTGAGCATCATGGTTCGGAGCCAGCCCTGGCAGACAGATCTTTGAGACTCTTGTCTCAAATGATATGTGAGCAAAACTGAGCTAGAGTGTGAGTCTCAAGTTCAAACCCCAGTACACACACACACACACACACACACACACACACACACACACACACACACACACGTAGAGAAATAAGGGTTTTAAGTTCAAAAGTCTGGCTGAATGAGTTTTCAGGGCTGGAGGAATGGTTCAGTTGACAGAGTTCTTGCCTAGCTAGTGTAAGTGCCCAGATTCAAACCTTAGTACTGCCTCCCACAACATACCCCCAAAACCCCCCATATTGCTGCCTATGTGTTAGCAGAAGGGACCTGAAGGGCAGAAGGCTCGTTCTGTGTTTGCCGGAGACCTAATTCCAGGTAGAGGAAGCTCAGGGAGGCCCGTGCCTCAGCTTTGTGATGCGTAGCAGACCATGGAGCTGCATTCCTGGTGCCCTGAGAGTGAAAGCCACTCTCTCCCCGGCAGGCACTTCAAACTAACATGCTTTATTAAGCTGTTCAGCCACTCAGTCCTTGAATTTTTTTTTTTTTTTTTTTTTGTCTATGTGTGGTCCTGGGGCTTGAACTCAGGGCCTGGGTACTGTCCATTAGCTTTTTTTGCACTCTGCCACTTGAGCCACAGCTCCACTTGGGTCTTTTGGTGGTTAATTAGAAATAAGAGTCTCACAGACTTTGCTGCCTGGATTAGCTTTACACTGCAAGTTTTAGATCTCACGCTCCTGAGTAGCTAAGATTATAGGCAGGAGCCACTGGTGCCTGGTTTTCAGTCCTTGAATTTTTTTCTTCATGGTAAATGCTATTTTTATTAAAGGAAACTGTAGACCAAAATAGATACAAAGCTCCTCAACAAAATTATAATACAAGCCGGGTGCCGGTGGCTCACACCTGTAATCCTAGCTACTCAGGAGCCTGAGATCTGAGGATCACGGTTCAAAGCCAGCCCGGGCAGGAAAGTCCGTGAGACTCCAGTTAAACCACTAGAAAACTGGAAGTGGCGCTGTGGCTCAAGTGGTAGAGCGCTCGCCTTGAGCTGAAGAGCACAGGGACAGCGCCCAAGCCCAGAGTTCAAGCCCCACAACCGACCAAAAAAAAAAAATTATAATACATAAAATTCAACAATACATTAAAAAGGTTGTATATCAAGATTATGCAGAATTAATACCTCATATGCAAAACCTTAGCACTGGCAATAAAACACATAACACATCTAGATCAATAGAATAGAAAATATGAAGTACAATATCTTCTTTGTGACTATATGTTAGTGGTACAAGAAGGGAGTTCATTGTGACATTTCCATATATGTATGCAGTTTATTCCAAACAAACTCACTCTGTCACTGTCTCTTTCCCACCTACAAGCTTCTATCAGTCCTTGATTTATTTTTTCTTTTTGTGCCAGTCCTAGGGCTTGAACTCAGAGCCTGAGCATGGTCCCTAAGCTTCTATTGTTCAAGGCTAATGATCTACCACTTGAGCCACAGTGCCACTTTTGGGCTTTTCCTGAGTAGTTTATTGGAGATAAGTCTCACAGACTTTCCTGCCCAGGCTGGCTTCAAACCATAATATTTAGATCTCATCTTCCTGTGTAGCAAGGATTACAGGAGTGACCCACCAGCTCCCAGCCAGTCTTACAATATTTTTTTTTGGTCAGTTGTGGGGCTTGAACTCTGGACCTGGGCGCTGTCCCAGAGCTCTTCAACTCAAAGCAAGGGATCTACCACCTGAGCCACAGCGCCACTTCCTTCCCAGCGAGTTTTTGAATTTCTAACCTTGCTTTCTTTATTACTGCTAGAAGAGACACTGGAGGAAATGTTGAGAAGAAAGCAGCGTTCACTTATTGAGCTGTGTACAAACCTCAGGGGGATTTGGCAGTGTCTGGACCGGGTGTTTGGTCCTCATCATAGCAGTGTGAAGCCGGTACAATACAAGTGGTCAGGGCAAAGCTGTTGCAGGTGCAGGTCCCCAGAGCTGAAGTGCTGGGAGCCTGCCTCAGAGCAGGGATGGATGGGAGGGTCTGTGCCGCTCATGTCAGTGCTGTTCCCGAGTCGCTTGCCACTTACAGAGGTTAAGGGGTCTTCTTGTCTCACCCCAGGCGGCAGGCCTGCCGCCCCTGCCAGAAGCACACACACTCAGAAAGCACTGGTGGACAGAAGTTGGCTCAGAGCACTGCCACCTGCCGAGGTTTCCCTCTGCCCAAGCCCCTGTCCTGTGTTCTCACACATGCTGCTCTACCTGCGTGGGGCAGGCCTTGTTCCTATCTCCAGTGTGCGCTCATGGAGGCTGTGGCCCAAGTTCACGTTAAGATCTTTTTCCCCACTGCACTCTACTGTCTTTGCAGCTTGGTTTCACTGAGCCGTGCCAGTGGTCTCTTCTGTCTTCGTAGCTGAATTTGTAAACTCTTATAGCCTATAAGATTGAAAATGCTGAACAAACCTGGCAATGAGCCGTGGAGTGTTCAAAAGTGGCAAAGAAAAGGTTGCCGTGAACCCTGGCCTGAAGCTGACATCCCCACGCGGGCCATGCTAGCGCAGTTAGCACTGTCTAGAAATGGCCCTGGGAGGGCGAGGTCCTCAGTCCTGAGGGTGTTTCCACAGCCACTGGGTCCTGGAGCTCTTAAGTGGACTATGAGGGGTCCACTTTCAGCTCCCCGACTTAGAGTGAAATATAATACGCAGGATAGCTGGGCGCCGGTGGCTCACACCTGTCATCCTAGCTACTCTGGAGGCTGAGATCTGAGGATCATGGTCCAATGTCAGCCCGGGCAAGAAAGTGCGTGAGACTCTTATCTCCAATAAACCACTAAAAACCAGAAGTGGTGCTATGGCTCATGTGGTAGAGCGTTTGCCTGGAGCTGAAGAGCTGAGGGACAGCACCCAGGCCACGAGTTCAAGCCCCACAGGAAAAAAAAAAAAGGAAGAGGATGCTGGCAAGAAGGCCTGCGGTGGCAGGGCTGTGGGTGCTCACTGTAACTGAGCTCTCGGCACTGGGCTCTGATGGGCGGGAGCCACCTGCTGCTACTCAGCAGCAGAAAGGGCTGTGTGGCATTGCCTTTAATCCATCCCATGGGGCCGGTGTCTCTTACACTGATTTTGATTTCCTCTCCCCTAGCTTAGGCCATATCTGCGTCTGGTGCTTTGCCATCCTAGCAGGGAGTGAGGGCCAGGACTGCAGGCGGGATAAGGAGCACCGGTACCCGCTGGACTCTGACTGCTCTGCTGCAGGGGCAGCAGCCTCAGAGCCAAGCTGCTGTCTCCCACCACCAGGCAGGAGAACAGTTTTGCTCCTTGCCCGCCCAGGTCTTGATTTGCTTACTAAGCCAGCACCTCAGGGGGCAGGGGAAGGGGGAGGCCTATTTCTAAGTCTGTTAGAACTGTCTGTCTGTTCACACAGTAGGGTCGTGGATCTTGCTGTGCTGCCTAGGCTGTCTCCAAACAGCTGGGTGCCTCCTGCCTCCTCCTCCTGAGTAGCTGGGACTGCAGGTGTGCATCACCATGCCTAGATCTTCCAGTACATTTTTTTCTTTTTTCACAGAAAGATAGTTTCTCAGTGGTAGCCCAAGGCTGGCCTCAAACTCATTTTCCTCCTGCCTCTGCCTCCCAGCCTTTTTTTTTAAGTTATAGAAATTGAACTTGGGGCCTTGCACTTGCTAGGCTAGTGCTCTACCACTTGAGTCACACCCTCAGCCCTTTTTGCTTTAGACTTTTTGGATAGGTTCTTGTATTTTTGCCCAGACAGGCCTGTACCATAATCCTCCCAAGTAGTTGGAACCACCACACCCACCGTAGCCCAGCCCTACGGGGTTTGATGGATTTCCCTGTGCACTGTTCATCTCCCCAGGCTCCAGAATCCTGCAGACCATGTCCAGATACCATTCTGTCACTCCGCTGTGTGGCCTTTAGATGAAACAGCACAGATGGGAGACCCGGCTCTGCAGGGTAGTAAAGTACCCAAAAGAGGCAGCTGTGGCCTAGCAGCCATGGCGTGGTCCTCTCCTTCCCTTCCAGACTTTCACATCCTTTGTCTCCATGCCTCAGTATTAGCAGGTTTATAATCTCCAGTGCTGGTTCTGTGTCTATCAAATGTTACCAGTGACTTCACACCCTCGTTCGGTCCTTGGCTTTGATTTCTGTGGGTACACATAGCAGATGCATTAGCCCCTTTCATGACAAGGAGCCAGAAGCCCATGTTTCCGGAGCTCAGCCATGGGCCTCCGCTCTAGGCCATCCCTGGGACTGAGAGCCTGGTGGAGCTACCAGGCTTGTGGAAACCCAGGACAGGCAGGGCATGCAGGTGGAGAGTGCCACTCTGAGGTTATGTGTCTGGACAGCGATAGCAAAGCCAAAGCACCGCATCCCCAGGCCTAGCTAGTGCTGGTCCAGGTGTGTCATTGTACCCCCTTCTAACCACTGAACTAGCTAGCAGCTGAAGGGCCAGGGATCGCACAGCACTAAGCACATGGAATTTGCTGGAGAGCTCACAGAGGCCATCTGACTGCTGCGTGCTGGTTCCTACAGCGGAGCCCAGGGCTGCCTGGCTCCTTCAAGTTGGTTTGATCTTTCTGCAATGACAGGAAAAGCCTCTTTCTACTCTGAAGTGCGTGCCCCACCCAGGCCTCCCAACCCCAGTTCACACCTTGCAACCCCTTTCTCACTTGAATATGTTGAGACATGTTTTCTTAAGATGTTTCTTGTTCCCTTGCCAAAGTGCCTTCCAGCACTTTCTGATATATCAAGATGGCAGTATCCCAGTCCTCTGCCTGTCGGCCTGGCTCTGACTACCTGGCTCCTCCAGCCTGGTCAGGCCATGGTAAAGCCGAGCACCCTTGTCCAGGCAGTGAGGGAACCAGCATTAGAGAGAAGGGCTGGGGTCCCCGAGGCCTGGAGAACACCGTCAGGGATTACCCGCAGAATCCACACTTGGGACCTCTGGAAATTATCTGACTGTTGATCCAGCCATTTATAGACTTTCTTCAGATATTCCTATGAAATAAATGCCTCTGCTTGTAAATTTTTTTGGATTTAAAATGGCATTCCCATCATTTTAGAAGAGGTAGTATTCCAACTAACAACTACTTTTTTATACTATTTCTGCCTCTTTTGTTATTTTGGGTCATGGGGCTTGAACTTGGGGCCTAAGCACTGTCCCTGGGCTCTTTTTGCTTAAGGCTAGCACTCTACCACTTGAGCCATAGCACCACTTCCGGTTTTCTGGTGGTTTATTGGAGATAAGAGTCTCACGGACTTTCCTGCCCAGACTTTCCTGACCGGGCTGGCTTTAAACCGTGATCCTCAGATTTCAGCCTCCTGAGTAGCTAAGATTACAGGCTTGAGCTACCAGTGCCTGGATATTTCTGCCTCTTGTTTGCATCTTTAGCAACCCCTGCTCACCACCTTGCCCTCTGTGGCCATCGCCCCACTCCGGAGCCTTGGGGCACAGCCGGCTCCCTCCTCACAGTTTCTTATTCCACTATTCTCACATAGATTGTCTGGGTTTTTTTGTTTGTTTTTTGCCAGTTCTGGGTCTTAAACTCAGGGCCTAGGCACTGTCCCTGAGCTTCTTTTGCTCCAGGCTGGTGTTCTGCCACTTGAGCCACAGTGCCATTTCCAGCTTTTTCTGTGTATGTGGTACTGAGGAATCGAACCCAGGGCTTCATGCATGCAAGGCAAACACTCTACCACTGAGCCACCTTCCCAGCCCCTTCTCACATAGATTGTCTACTTGAGTTCTCACTCCACTTCCCTGCCCCTGCTCATGCCAGCTTTGACCTGGGGAGTGCTGATGTCGGGACCTTCAGAAGGCAAGCTTGGAGAAGAGGAACGACGGGGTGTTGTGTGGTTCAAGATCTGGGGTGGAGGGGCTGGGAAGTTGGCTCAGTGGTAAAGCGCTTGCCTTGCATGCCTGAGGCCCTGGGTTCGATTCTCAGCACCACATAAGCAAAAAGCCGGAAGTGGCGCTGTGGCTCAAGTGGTAGAGCGCTAGCCTTGAGCTGAAGAGCTGAGGGACAGTGCCCAAGCCCAGAGTTCAGGCCCCACGACCGGACCCAAAAAAAAAAAAAAAAAAAAAGATCTGGGGTGGAGGGAGAGCTGTGGGAAGCACAGGGCCACGTCATTGCTTTTCCTCCTAGATGGCTCTTGTCAGCAGCCAGTGCCCAGGCAGTCACTGCGTCACGGGCCCCCTTCCCCATCTCCTACCTGAGCTTCCCGCCCTTCTCAGCTTGGGGTGGGGGTCCTTCAGGAGAAGCGTCTCATTTCACTGAAGGCTGCAGGCCGGCTTCACAGTGTGGAGATCTGTTGAGGAGCCTGAAGGGTGTGTTTGGGGCCCTTTTGCCCCCTCAACCAGTTTCATATTCCCTTGGGTCTTTGGAAGAAAGCCTGGGATTTCTGGATTTTGATTTACTGGACAGACAGGTGCCATGGATATGGCCCTGGCTTCCTCACACCATCAGGGAGCCGTGTCACCACACTCATTATTATTATGAGATAAGTGTGGCATCCAGTGTGGCTGGTAGGACAGAGGGGAAAGGATTTTCAGGACCTCGGGTGTGGGAGGGAAATTCAGGACTTACTGGCTGCCCTTTCTAGCCCAGCCCCTCTCTCTCTAGGTCTGGCCTCTGTCTCCTTTCCTTAGGAAAACAGTCTGTCTTGGCTTCTGCAGCCAGAACCTTTGCTGTTTGCAGCAATCTCAAACTAGTTGATGGGAAATTTCACTTTCTCATAATAGTTCCCTTTAATCTCTCTCCTCCCTCCTTATGCTTAACATTTCCTTTCAGAACCTGAGCTGGCTGGAAGAGAAAGAGAAGGAAGTTGTCAGTGCCTTGCGCTACTTTAAGACAATTGTGGACAAAATGGCTATTGATAAGAAGGTACTGGAGATGCTTCCAGGGTCCGCCAGCAAGGTGCTGGAGGCCATCTTACCCTTGGTGCAGACCGACCCCCGGATCCAGCACAGGTGAGTTGCTCCGCAGAGCTCAGCGGGGCAGCCGTGGAAGGAAGGCTGAGGCGCCTGGGTTTGGGCACTAGAAGCACAGGTTTCCAGGAACAGTGGAGGCTATCCTGCTCGCCAGCTCTACCTGGCTGCTTCCCAGCCTTGAGATCACGGCTCCTCCTGAGGCCTTGACTCAGGCTGGTCTCTACCATCCCAGGAGATGAGGCCATGTTGGAGTCTGCTGTGCTCACTTCTTTGTGTGAACTCACAGGCAGCAGTCACATAGATTTGGAGTTCATTTCTCTTCTGTGCCTTCAGTCCCCTAACATACCTAACCCTGCTTCTTATGGCATCCAGTACTAGCACAAATCCTCACCAGCTCAGGCAATCAGCCAGAAGAGGCAGAGAAGAATCCCGTTAGAGCACGGAGTATGGGAGCACCTGCCTGTGCCAGGCCAGGCCCTCCCAGGCAGTGTGGGAGCTGCAGTCAGACTTTGCCCCAGGAAGCTTTTGTTGACTACTGAGGCTTTGATTGCTAGACTGCATTTTCTCTTAAAGATCAGCACGAGAACCTTGCCTGGATTCATTGTTAAGTATAAAAGGAAAAGCGGTTTTAAGTGCCATCTCATAGCCTGACAGGAGCTTAGGGTTTGGGTCTGGGGTTTTGTCCGTGGTACCTATTTGGGATCAGTGCATCTTTCTTCAGTTCCTCCATCTGGCTTTGTGTTCACCTAGCCCTGTGAGGCTGAGCTCTTACAAGCAGCTTTCAGAACTTGGCAATGAAGTTCACAACTTTCTTCTTCTGAGACATAGAGTAATTGGTATCTTTGTTTCCAAGAAGCTCTCTGCTGGGGAGACTTTGACCCTGGAGTTTTTATTGACCCCGCCGGAGATTGTGGTCTTTTGGCTAGAAGCTCCCTGGCGCTGCTGGTATGGCTTGGTCTGCTGCTGCCCGCACTGTTGCTGTCTCTAGTTTTATTCCATGCCTGGCTCCTAGGCAGCCTTGGTGCCTGTCTTCTTTAGAGAAAGAGCCTTATGTTGACATTAACCACGGTCAAATGTGTGGATGATGTTGTTATCCCTCTGTTCTCATGAGATGATCCCACTAGGAAAGAGTTCAAATCCAGTTGGAAACTTCTGGCTCACCATCAGGTAACAAGTGCTGACAGTGGTAGAGTTCAAGCTCTGTTGGAATTGAAGCGGAAAGCTGAGAGAGTGGTGGTCCCAGCTTCCTGGCACAGGCATGCTGGAAGCCAGTCTATGGGCGAGGCAAGAGCTGGATTGGTTGTGGGGAGGAGAGTCAGAGAAGGAAGGACCTGTGGCCTAGGTCAGTGTATGTCCTGGGGCTGGGGAGCCAGGGAAACAAGACAGGGCCTTGACCTGCTACCTACCAGCACAGAAGCCTCTGGGAAAGTGCGTGGAGTTGCTTTCACTAATCCCAACACAGTGGTTGCCACTAGGGTTTCTTCCTGGAGTGGGGGCTGGAAGCTCTGCCCAAGAGGGTGCAGGCATGTACCTACCTGTTCATGAAGCCACAGAGAAGGGGTAATTGAAAAAGGTTATTTAGTGTCCTTATCTCCTTCCAGGAAGAGCTAAGGCCAAAGGCAAGTGCCAGGGCACAGCCAAGTGATCTTGGGCTAATCCCACGTAAAGGATTTGCCTTTTGGAATTGTCCCAAAGCCGATGAGTGAAAGAACGTCCTCAGATGTTTCTGTTCTTTCCACTGTCTCTTCCTCCATCAGTGCAGCATGTGAGTGGGAAGGGGCTTTCCTGCCCCTTTGCAGCTGCCTTCTAGCAAGCAGGTCCCTGGCCACCTCGCCTGAGTTCCAAGGACACAGCTAGTCTGTACTGAGTGAGCAGCCAACTTGGGCTGTAGCGGGAATGCAGTTTTCTCCTGTGAGAGCCACTGTCTGTGCATTAGCGGCAGATGGCTTTGGTTCATGAAGAATGGGCCAGTGCTGGGTCTTGGTACATGTCCCCAGTGACCTTTGTCCCTCCTAGTCAGCCCCTTGCCCCGGGAAGACTTGGCGTCCAGGCTCGTGGTGGGAAGGGTGCTGTGGGGAGTGGTTGTTTCAGAGCTCCGAACAAATGGCAGCCTAGATGCTGGAGAAATGAAGTGTGAATTTACTGCCTTCATCCAACAGGGTGGTGCCTCGGTGTGTACCCCCTGCAGGCCAGGATAGAAGGCTTTGGCTGCATTAATGCTGCATACATGCTCCACATGGCTGTGGAGCCCCCTTCCCAGAGCCCAGAGCCCATCCTCCGCACCTGTCTCTCCATGGTCTCTTAGCTGATTCCCCGGCCCTCCCCGTCCTCAGGGACTGGGGGCTTGCTTTCCTTCCTCCAACTCCTCTCACTCTTCCTCTGCTATAATGCATAAGTCTGAAGTGGAAATAAAAACTTTCAAAATTCTTAAAGAAAATTATTTTCAGTATTTGAGATGTAGAACATGTCAACATTGTGTATTTTGACTACTACTCTACAGAGTACTGAGGGTGGCTTCTTGGCATCATAGTGAGGCTGGAAGTGCACACACACACACACACACCTGTATCATAGTGAGGCTGGAAGCGCACACACACACACACACACACACACACACACACACACACACACACACACCCTGTATCACCACCCTCACACATCTCAGGCCATCCCGGGCCACCTCAAATCTGACTCATTATTCTTGAAAGTCTTTCCTGCTGTGGCCCTCAGGCTGCTCAGCCATCATTACAGGGCTGAGGACTGTGAGCTCAGTGTGGGGAGGCGTCTCTGACAAAGTGCCATCTCTTCTGAGCTCATGGCTGCTCCATTCCGGGGTCCCACTCACTAAAACCTCACAAACCTATTGGCTCCTGTGATCTGTCCACAATAACTTTCAATCTCATTTAAAACAAGAAGCATGCAGCTCTGGCTCAGACCAGTGGCTGGCAGCTTGAAGGAGGGAAGACTGAGTGCTTTGTAGGCAATCTTTATAGATTCTTACATGCAGGGGTGTGAAGCCAGAAGAAAGTACTGTGATGGGATTTTTATGTTATATATGGGAAATGAATTTTTTTTTTAACCAGTTGTAGGGTTTGAACTCAGGGGCTGGGCTCTGTCCCTGAGCTCTTTTGCTAAAGGCTAGCACTCTACCACTTTGAGCCACAGTGCCACTTCTGATTTTTGAGTAGTTAATTGGAGATGAGAGTCTCACAGGGACCTTTCTGCCCAGGCTGGCTTTGAGCTGTGATCCTCAGATCTCAGCCTCCTCAGTAGCTAGGATTACAGGCGCGAGCCACCAGCACCCAGCTGAAATAAACTTTTTCACAGGTTAGAATATAAAGTTCCACAAAATCTTTGCTGGGGGTCAAAAGGCCAGGAGAGATTAGCTGAGTATGGTGGTGCTTGTTGTAATCCCAGCACTCTCTCAAGAAAGAGAGAGACATGGATTTTTACCAAATGAAGAGAGAAAGGGACACCATAGCCACTGACAGACTGTTCCTTCTGAAGTGACTGTCCTGCTTTCGCTTTGTTTGTAACATGTCTTTACAAACCCTTGTTTTCATTCTAGCTCAGCCCTCTCCTCCTGCTATAGCCGGGTGTACCAAAGTCTTGCCAACCTCATCCGTTGGTCTGACCAGGTGATGCTTGAAGGGGTGAACTCAGAGGATAAGGAGACAGTGACAACGGTGAAGGGCGTCATCAAGGCCGTGCTGGACGGAGTGAAGGTACTGCGCGGGCTCCAGACCACCAATCACTCATAAACCTACCGCATCAGAATGATCGTCTTCTGGTAGCCAAAGTGCGGACCTGCCTAGCCCACAACTCCTCCATCCACAAATCCCTCCATCACCACTGGGGCTGAGCACACTTACAGCTAGACAAAGACACTAGTGGAGGCGGGTTTTGTGTTGGCATTCAGCAGAACTAATATATCACTTTTCATGTTGCAGACATGTTGAGAGTCTCCATAGCAAAGCATGGTTGAGATGACCTGGGAATGAAAGCATCTATGGGCTTGATTTCCCTCATGCTGTCTGGGTATTTGCTATCCAGGGAAGTCGGAAATGGCCTGCGAGGAAATTAGTAATCATAGTTGAGGTAGAAGCAAAGGCCTTAGTGGAGCTGGGCCTGGGGGACAAGCCCTAATGAGAAAATGAGCCCCAGTGTTTGAGGAGCAAGACAGGTAGAGCAGGGACAGAGTGAGGGTCAGTCAGGGCTGGGCATGGTGGGCAGGGAGGACAGGGAACCTGCTTTAGGTGGGGCTGTGCCATGCAATAGAAAGAGTGACCACTACTACTTGCTGTCTATGGACTGGAGCCATTTGCTTAGCTTCTCTTTACTTTAGTTAATAATCCATAAAGAGTTAGCCTGGGCTGGGAATGTGGCTTAGTGGTAGAATGCTTGCCTAGCATGCATGAAGCCCTGGGTTCAATTCCTTAGTACCACCTACACAAAGGCCAGAGGTGGCGCTGTGGCTCAAGTGGGAAAGTGCTAGCCTTGAGCTAAAGAAGCTCAGGGACCATTCCCAGGCCCTGAGTTCAAGCCCCAGGACTGGCCAAAAAAAGTTAGCCTAACAGTACTGTGCATTGCATGGTTACTGGAAGGATTAAATTAGTTAATATATGCACTGCTTTTAGAACAGTGCCAGATACATACTGAACACTCAGGCATTACTGGCTATTAAGTACGCAGTGCTCAGCGCTTGCCTTGAAATGTGGCTGGGCCCTCTTCCTTTCTAGATTCTTCCAAACAAAATTATAGCTAAGACCTCTGCACTGAGGCACAAAGGGTTCCTTCCCAACTCACCAGGCTCCAGATTCCTGGAAACCGCCCCCTTGCGTGCCGCCCCCCAGAGCTCTGGGGAGCAGGACTAGGACCCCAAAGGCTGAAACCACGGAGAGAAGGCCATGTCTCTCCCAGACGGACCCTTAGCTAACGTCCCTGCAGCTCCCCATCGCCAGGACCCTTTAGACCAAGGTCCTATCGTCTCTGCACCCCAGAGAGTGGTCAAGGTCTGTTGTCGGCTTTTGGCAGGGAGACTAAAAGGCATAACCAGGCACTGCTGTGCTGAATCCAGGCTATCACATCATGCTGTTGCATCCCCCATGGTCGCTCATGTCCGCGTGGCCTGCATGGCATCCTCCACAGTTACTTGTGTCCACGTGGTCTGTGTGGCATCCCCCAGGGTTGCTCATGTCCGCATGGTCTGTGTGTCGCAGCATCACACGATTCCAGCCAGCTGGCCCTGCTGTTCCTGACTGCTTCTAGAAATGCTATTGTTGGAAATGATTTTTCAGGTGACATTGTTGCGTTTCTTCCCACCAAATCCATTCTGATGAGGTGTTCAGAACAAGTTAGAACAACTAGAGCGGAAGAAAGCGAGTTTCCACACAGCCTTGTGGCACAGCCAAGTGGAATGTCTCTGTGAAATCATTAAAGCACCATTGTATCGGTGAAAGGCCTGTCTGAGAGAAAAATTTACAATTTTTCAGTGATCAGAGAACGCAGAAAAAGAGACAGAGTATCTATGGAATTTGAAATTGTCAGCGTCTAAGAAAATAATTTTTCCACAAGTATCTTACAAATATTTTAGCCAGGACAAAGATAGTGTAGGTCAGAGGCTCTAAAAATTGAGTTTTGTCTCATTTATTTAAGAAGCACTTAACAAGAACCTTCTGTGTGCCCCGGTCATGGCCCTGGCCTGAGGGAGTTCATAGCTAACTGCAGGGGAGGAAGGACCATAAACAAAAGTTCACAATTGTGTAAGATGATGCCACAGGGAGAAAGAGCAGAGAGCGCGCACGCGCCCCAGGCTCCAGCGGAGGCACACAGCCTGCTGCTTGCAGGGTGGTCGGGCCTCCTTCCTGAGACGCAGGCCAGGGCCTGCGGGGCGGCAGGCATGGACCTGTGCTGCTGGAGCCTGGAAGGCTGTGAAGAGGGTCCGTGTTGGCATTGTTATTTATGACCGTGCTAATGACAGCGAGCACTCACTGGGCCGCCGGACCCGGTGCGCTCCTTACTCACTCACCCTCGCTCAGGATCCTCCGCTCACACCTCCTGCTGTCCCAGCCAGGCCCCACTCCCTAAAAGCCTGTGTCCTGGGGTGTGAGCTGTAGGGCTGGGCGGGGTACCACTGATGTGGTCACCCCACTTGGAGGAGGAATGCTGGCACGTTCCTCAGTTCTGACTCACCATCTTTCAAGTGGCTACTTCAGTTGAACGGAATTTTTTTTTGAGGGGGGGAGGGAACTTTACAAAAATGTTTTAAAAGCAGCTTACTTTGTTCTTGTTCCTGAATGAGTAATAGCATTTGTCAGTTAAACCCTCGCATAAATACCGCTTGCTAGCTATGTGGCCTTGGACCAGCTATTTCTCTAGGGTTCCTATAGTTCCTTAAATACTTGCCCTGAAGGTGTGAAGACAGGCTAGGCTGATGGACACCCAGCGAGTGCCGGGCGCCATGGAGCGCCTGCTCCCCTGCCAGTCCTGGTCGGCAGCTGTGGCTCCATTCCAGGTGAGCTTAGAAATGTGAGCCCTTCAGCCTTCCCACTCCAGCATTGCTGTCCTCTGACCTCAGGCAGGCTGCTCTCCACCCCGCCTTGCACTCAGCTTGGCCTGGCCTAGGCCTTCAAGAAAGAATGAGGGTTGGGAAAGGGAGAGAGGAAGACAGAAGGAAGCAGGAGAAAGAGAGAGGGAGAAAGAGGGAAGGAACTGAGGCAGGCAGGAAGGGCTTTCTTACACTGTAAGGATGTTTTCTGACCATCGGTTAGGATTAAGTCTGAAATGAAAACAGTAAACGCAAAACGAAAGTAGTAGTGGCTCTGTGAGTGTGTGTGAATGAATGTGTGCATGTGTGGACACACACATGCTGTACATGTGTTAATTCCAGGGCTTGAACTTAGGGCCTTACATTCTCTCAGCTTTTCTTATCTTTTTCATTATTTACAACTGGTGCTCAACCACTTGAGTCCTACCTCCTGGCTGGGTTTTATAGGTTAATTAGAGATGGGTTCTCTCAGACTTTTTGACCTGGACTGGCTTTGAACTGTGGGAAGCTCAGATCTCAACTTCCTGAGTAGCTGGGATTGCAGACATGAGTCACTAGCTCCCAGCTAGCAGTGGCTTTTCAAAAAACAAAATTTCTTATTCCCTTGTGTAAAGCCTAGAGGTAGACAGTTTCAAAGGCCAGTAAGGCCGGGTGCCGGTGGCTCATGCCTGTAATCCTAGCTACTCAGGAGGCTGAGATCTGACTGAGGATCACAGTTCAAAGCCAGCCAGGGCAGGAAAGTCTGTGAGACTATTATCTCCAATAAACCACTAGAAAACCGGAAGTGACACTGTGGCTCAAGTGGTAGAGTACTCGCCTTGAGCTGAAGAACACAGGGACAGCGCCCAAGCCCTACGACCAACAACAACAACAAAAAGGCCAATAAGCTGTTTTTAAAAGATGTCTGGAACCGGGCACTGGTGGCTCATACCTGTAATCCTAACTACTCAGAAGGCTGAGATCTGAGGATCGCAGTTGAAAGCCAGCCGGAGCAGGAAAGGCCATTAAGACTCTTTTTTTTTTTTTTTTTTGCGGCGGGGAGGTTTGAGTCCGGTGGTGGAGCCTGAACTCTGGGCCTGAGCACTGTCCCTCAGCTCTTCAACTCAAGGCTAGCATTCTACCACTTGAGCCACAGCGCCACTTCTGGCTTTTTTTCTTTTTGCTTATGTGGTGCTGAGGAATCGAACCCAGAGCCTCATGCATGCAAGGCAAGCGCTCTACCACTGAGCCACCTTCCCAGCCCCTGTAGAGATTTTGCCTTGAGCTGAAGAGCTGAGGAATGAGGGACAGCACACAGGCCCAGAATTCAACCCCCACAACTGACCCCCCAAAAAAGTCTGGAGCCAGGCGCTGTGGCTCATGCCTATAATTCTGGCTGTTTAGAAGGCTGCAATTTGAGGATTGCAGTTCAGAGCCAGCCCTGGCAGGATAGTTTATGATATTCATATCTCTGATTAACCACCAAAATGCCAAAAGTAGAACTGTAGCTCAAGTGGTAGAGCACTAGCCTTGAGGAAAAATAAATAAATAAATAATAAAGTGCTTAGACACTGAGTTCAAGCCTCAAGTTCAAGAACTAGTACTGGCCGGTGGGGGGGGAGGGGGGGGGAAGCTACCTCCTCTCTAGCTATCATGGCTACATTTCAGATAGCTCAGAACCATGCTTCTCCCTTGAGGTGTCTTCTTAGAAGGCCTCGCACATTTCTACTTACATTTTATTGGCCTGAGCTTGGTCATATGCCTAGCTAAAAATCTGTTAGGAAGAACAAATACTGTGGGGCTGCCAGCTGTCTCTGACATTTCAAGTAAGCCATCTCTTATTCCTTTTGAGCCTGTTTTTAAGTTTTTTCATTGTGAATAATTTCAAACATTTACAAAGCAGAAAAGAGTTTGTAGAAGGAGAATAAGGAAGGCTGAGTATAGTGTTCTACTGCTGTAATCCCAACTATGTGGGAAAAATAAGGAGGAGGCTCAAAGTCCAAGGCTTCTGGGGCAGAAAGCATTAAAAAAAAAAAAAAACTAAAGCCAAAAAGGCTAGAGGCATGGTCCAAGTGGTAGAGCACCTGCCTAGCAAGCACAAGGCCCTGAGTTCAAACCCTACTACTGCCACAGAGGGAACAAATAAGGGACCTTGTTCACACATGTCTAGGCTTGTTTCTTGTTCTTCTAGCCAATCCC